TACTCTCACCCTTTCTCTTTCTCCTGGTGATCGACTGGATCATGAAGACGTCAACGTCTGAAGGAAAGCGCGGGATACAATGGACATCTAAGATGCAGCTGGATGATCTAGACTTCGCAGACGATCTGGCCCTTCTATCCCACACGCAACAACAGATGCAGGAGAAGACAAGCAGCGTGGCAGCAGCCTCAGCAGCAGTAGGTCTCAACATACACAAAGGGAAAAGCAGGATTCTCCGATACAACACAGAATGCACCAATCCAATCACAATTGACGGAGAAGATTTGGAAGATGTAAAAACCTTTACATATTTGGGCAGCATCATTGATGAACAGGGTGGATCTGATGCAGATGTGAAGGCGCGGATCGGCAAAGCAAGAGCAGCATATTTACAACTGAAGAACATCTGGAGCTCAAAGCAACTGTCAACCAACACCAAGGTCAGGATTTTCAATACAAATGTCAAGACAGTTCTACTGTATGGGGCAGAAACCTGGAGAACTACAAAAGCCATCATCCAGAAAATACAGGTGTTTATTAACAGTTGTCTACGCAAAATACTTCAAATCCATTGGCCGGACACTGTTAACAACAACGTACTATGGGAGAGAACAAACCAGATCCCAGTGGAGGAAGAAATGAGGAAGAAGCGCTGGAAGTGGATAGGACACACATTGAGGAAAGCACCGAACTGCGTCACAAGACAAGCCCTCACGTGGAATCCTCAAGGCCAAAAAAAGAGGAAGACCAAAGAACACATTACGCCGAGAAATGGAGATAGACATGAGAAAAATGAACAAGAATTGGATGGAACTAGAAAAGAAGGCCCAGGACAGAGTGGGTTGGAGAATGCTGGTCAGCGACCTATGCTCCATTGGGAGTAACAGGCGTAAGTAAGTAAGTAAGTATATTTTGTACACATTAATATATGAACAGACGATCATAGAGACAAAGCAAAGAGAAATGACGAGCATTAAAGAAGGCAAATGAGTCTACTCGATTTAATCAAGCGTTAATCAATATTTATAGTCACACAAGAATAAGTTAGAGACATTTGATGAATGGGATAAAAAGTGTATACACATATATGCTCATATAAAACAGTCAGGGTACTAGGTTTAAAGTGGTTACGAGTTCACTTAGTCTGCGAACGGAACAAAGACTTGTGAACAAAAAACCAATAAACTAGCTATTTTGTTGCGTCTCGAACTCCCTCATCAGAGAGAGAAAGAAGTCGAAGTCCGAACGGGTAAGTATATTCTGCAAAAAGCCAGAAGCACGAGCGAGTAATAACAACAGACACAAATCAAAACATATATATACAGCACAAAACCGTCTTTGGGAAGCGTTAAAAATAACATACTAAAAGAGATAACGGACCAATAGCGTTTAAGATTCTCTCAAGTGGGAAATACGACATGAAGGTGAAAAGAGCGGTTTTGGCGTGAAAACAAAGAAATTCAAATTTTCAAAATAAAATTACGAAATTAGGACCTTTTCCAAGTGAGTTCTGAGGATCTAACGTGCACAACACAGGGTTGATAAGTGAGTACTTAACAAGGTCAAAACGTGACTCAAGAAGAATGGATAAGTTGGCCTGTCCAGAAGCTAGAATTAGATGTATGTGCTTAACATATCAACCGACACTACAGATATCCTTTATTAACACACTTCATTAAATTATGACACTTTTACAAAAAATAAAATCTTGAGATCCTTACACTGAATAGTTTGTAACAAGAATCCTATTGCTATCCCAATATGGATAGCTCAAACAAACCGTGAGAATTTTCAATGCAAACAGTGAATATTAATGAAATTTCACTAATATGAGCAGACTTATATCAAAACTGAAGAAATAATGGTACAGCTATGTCGATCATATTCTCATAGCTTAAACAAATAATAAGATTATTTACTTTATTTATTTATTTGAACACATAAATCTTGGTACAAATAGGAACCGACTATATATACGCCACAAAAGTCAATTGATTAGTGTGTAGGCTGTGATACTGCCCAGGTGCGCAGACTGAAACAGTTGGTTTTCATAAGGGGCCACACCCGGAACCTTCCATATAAAGGTCTGATCAACAAGGCAATGGAACAACGTCAGAAGATGCAGTCCCATGGTAACCGATGACAGACGATTGATTCATACACCATTTGTTCCTTCAGAATACTAAAGCCCATTTACACCACTCGTTTAGAATGAGGGTTTTCCATCTTCCCTATGTGGATCTTCCATATCCACCAAGCCAGTTAATGCATCGGACATTCTCTTTTCGTCTTTTCAGTTTCGTAGACAATAGTAATGCTGCAAGAATGGAGTGGGTAGAACTTGTATGGTAGTGGCTGTATACGCGTGGTCACGTGAGAGCATTTGGAGAGGGAGAGCTGACTCTCACCACCTCCGGCCATACTAGAGCACTTGGGGAGATTTTCTGCAAGTTAGTTCATTTCTAATGACATAATGAATGCTTTTTATTTTAGGGGTGTATTAAGTTATACTGGATGTCCTTAGAAATTTTCCATTACTAAAAATAGTCAATAATCTTACATTTTTTATACGATGTCAAGCTCAGATCTTTAGAACTCATCACAATTAAACTTTATCATCTATTAGCATAGAGATTTAAAGGACTCAAGTAAAAGCCATTCGACTGAATTTTGAACCACTCCACCTAAATGGTTTATTTGTTTTCGAACACAAAACCACAGATGTGACTAGAAGTTAAGTACAAAAGCGTATACGTCTCAACAGACATAAAGACTGACAAATGTAAAATTTTGCACAAAAGTTATTCGGTTCACATGATAAAGTATCATAGGAGAACAGAAATACAAAAGCGGAAGGATTATTAAAAAAGACGCCAAAGTTTTAGTCAACACTGCAATGGATCTTGAGTCGCATCACTTGAACTATCTAACCAACTACTGGCTTTCATTTCTCTATAAACTTCATTCGAAATGTTAGAATCCAGGACTACTAGATCTTACGGCATATGCTGAGTTTGATCTATGGTGAGATTAATGGTATGTAATACGGAAGAGTTTTATACTAGGGCGCAAAAGCTGTCCCATGTTACCTGGTTCTCAAAGGTGCCCAATTGAGATCAGTCTATAACGAACACAACCCATAAATAACTCATTTCTTAAACATAGACAAGTAGCATTCATAAATCATGTAACTCACACCAACACTTTTAACTTATCAAATGTATTGCCTGAGAGAATCACCAGGTAAACGCTCCTTTTTTTACATGATAAAATTTCTTATCAGGATAGATCCACAATAAAGTAAAGAGTTTAAGACTAGGTAGAATCAGTTTAAATTCTGAATACAATCGCATCACTAATATTTGTTCAAATCACCTATAACTAAACATTTAACAACTTCAAATTAAATCACAAATTATCAGTATAGTTTTTAATTAAGATCGTGAATCGATTGATGTTAGACCACTATTGGAAGCCTGGAAGCATTGGACGGCCGTTTCGTCCTATCGTGGGACTACTCAGCAGTGCGTATCCATGATCCCGCCCGTGAGATTCGAACCCAGGGCCTTCAGACTCGCGTGCCAACGCTTAACCTCTAGACCACTGAGATGGCCGGTATCCAACGATGTTAATGTCTAACCTCAAACAGTTCACGAACTTGCGCGACCATCCTCCATTGTACTGAAGAAAATACCTGTCTCTACCCGACATGGATTAGCTCCACTTTATCGAAATTCAGAAGGAGTTTTGTGGATATTATAGTAATTTTATTGGTTGAAATCATGGGTCAGTTGAAGCTAAACCACCATAGAAAACCTGGAACCACTGGATAGCCATTTCATTATACTATGTGAATTTTACAGACCCGTTCGTAAGATAGTAAGTCACTGAAGACGATGATGAATGTGTCGCTCAATTTCATGGATTAGTTGAAGTTAGACATTATCACCATTGGATGCCGATCGGCTCAGTGGTCTAATGCTTAAGCGCTTGCACGAAATACTGACAGGTCCTGAGTCCGAATCTCGCGAGGTGGGATCGTGGATGCACACTGCTCAAGAGTCCCACAATAGGACGAAACAATCGTCCAGTGCTTCCAGGTTTTCCATGGTGGTCTAGCTTCAATTGATTCACGATCTCATTAATCGAAATTACTACAATCTCTACAAAACCCCTCTCTGATTACAATCATCTTATGCTCACTAGTGACTGTCTTCAAGAGTCATTTCCCGGAGTTCTAGTGAGAAGCAGTAACCAGTAGAGTTCAACCGAGTCTGTTGTAAGATAGTAACTCATTAATGACAATAGTGGATGGTTGCGCAATTTCGTGGATTAGTTAAAGTTAGATATTAACACCGTTGAATACCGACCAACTTAATGGTCTGGTGGATTATTATTCGTGCGCGAGACCGATAGGTCCTGACTTCAAATTTCTCGAGGCGAGATCGTGGATGCGCAATGATCATCCAGTACTTCTAGGTTTTCCATGATGTTCTAGTTTCAATCGACTCAAAATATACAATTAAAAGTCTCTAAGATCTAGTTTATAGTAATAAAATAATAATTATATATATAAAAAATAGATACCTTTTCAAGTTGTGATGCTAATTTTTCATTTAATACATGCATTTCTTTACGACTTTGTTCACGTGCTTCACGACAACTTCTTGCTTCGGGTAAATCCATTGTTAATGTATTTCTAGCTAAACGATCTAATGAACTAATACTTTCAGTTTTATTACGCCAAACTTCTTGTGACATAATAATGATTAAATAGATATAGATATGTAATGTATATTCTCTTGACAACAAGAAACAAAGTGTATTTTTATTTTGTTTGTTTTTTGTTTGTTTTTTTGTGTGTTTTATTTAAATTTTAAATATCCGCATGTTTCTAGAATCATTTAAACTTTTTAAAAAAAAAAGAAAATGTCGATATTCAATATGAAACATTAAATTGATATACTCTCTTTTATGGGATTAAATTCTCTCAAGGTCAAATGTTCACACATGATCTGCTCACTGATTGGTTGATAAAACAAATTGATTTATTGATTTTTTTTTAAATTAAATTTTTTTTTAAAAATAATTCAATATTTGAAATCCAATGGATAATTAGTTGAATATTTATTAGCTTGAATCAGAGTGTATATTAACCAATGAGATTATTCTTTATTAGCAAGTGTTATTATTATTATTATTATTATTATTATTATTATTATTATTATTATTATTATTAGTAGTAGTAGTAGTAGTAGTAGTAGTAGTAGTAGTAGTAGTAGTAGTAGTAGTAGTAGTAGTAGTAGTAGTAGTAGTAGTAGTAGTAGTAGTAGTAGTAGTAGTAGTAGTAGTAGTAGTAGTAGTAGTAGTAGTAGTAGTAGTAGTAGTAGTAGTGGTAGTAGTAGTAGTAGTAGTAGTAGTAGTAGTAGTAGTAGTAGTAGTAGTGGTGGTGGTAGTAGCAGTAGTAGTAGTAGTAGTAGTAGTAGTAGTAGTAGTAGTAGTAGTAGTAGTAGTAGTAGTAGTAGTAGTAGTAGTAGTAGTAGTAGTAGTAGTAGTAGTAGTAGTAGTAGTAGTAGTAGTAGTAGTAGTGGTAGTAGTAGTAGTAGTAGTAGTAGTGGTGGTAGTAGCAGTAGTAGTGGTAGTAGTAGTAGTAGTAGTAGTAGTGGTGGTGGTGGTAGTAGCAGTAGTAGTGGTAGTAGTAGTAGTAGTAGTAGTAGTGGTGGTAGTAGTAGTAGTAGTAGTAGTAGTGGTAGTAGTAGTAGTAGTAGTAGTAGTAGTGGTGGTGGTAGTAGCAGTAGTAGTAGTAGTAGTAGTAGTAGTAGTAGTAGTGGTGGTAGTAGCAGTAGTAGTAGTAGTAGTAGTAGTAGTAGTAGTAGTGGTAGTAGTAGTAGTAGTAGTAGTAGTAGTAGTAGTAGTGGTAGTAGTAGTAGTAGTAGTAGTAGTAGTAGTAGTAGTAGTAGTAGTAGTAGTAGTAGTGGTGGTGGTAGCAGTAGTAGTGGTAGTAGTAGTAGTAGTAGTAGTAGTAGTAGTAGTAGTAGTAGTAGTAGTAGTAGTAGTAGTAGTAGTAGTAGTAGTAGTAGTAGTAGTAGTAGTAGTAGTAGTAGTAGTAGTAGTAGTAGTAGTAGTGGTAGTAGTAGTAGTAGTAGTAGTAGTAGTAGTAGTAGTAGTAGTAGTAGTAGTAGTGGTGGTGGTAGTAGCAGTAGTAGTAGTAGTAGTAGTAGTAGTAGTAGTAGTAGTAGTAGTAGTAGTAGTAGTAGTAGTAGTAGTAGTAGTAATATTTTAATTAGCACTGAATATGTTGACCCCATGAGACTCTTGCTTATGGACGACCTTTGAGCAATGTTAAGTCTGATCGTAAGATAATCCACCTAATATCTAAGATCGTATAAAGGTTATAAATCAGTGTGTTTGGAATAAGAATTATGATGTACAGGCGATAGTTAGGATTTTCATCACGAACTGACATCAGTTATCATTTCAAAACTTTATTTAACCAAATGGATAAGTGAATTTTGAGCCAAAATTCAAGTTTAGTTATCTTATATCGAATTGGTTACTTCGTCTATTATAGTCTGGTCATAAATTGATTTATAACTATTTTAAACACTGTCAGCAGAGAATTCATTTTTGTGGTGGAGAAGATTTATAGCTCAGATGGATGATTTTGATGGAGTTTTGTTCTCTGAGCTGGATGGTTTGATCGTAATCTACAAATCTTCTCGACCATCTCAAAATCATATGAGTGTAATACGCTTCTCATTGTTCGAAAATGGGACAATTTCGCCAAAAGGCAGGTTTTTACTTGAGAACAACTATATTCTCTGCATGAACACGATCAAACTATCCAGCTCAGAGAACAAAACTCGATCAAAATTCATTTTTGTTTTTTTTCTTTAAAAATGAATTGGCAAACTATTTAAGAATATATATTGAAATTTCAATTAGCCCCATCATATTTGTTTTCATTTATAGATTGATTCCTAAGAAATGGTGGAAGAGTTCTTCTGGTGATACTTGAAAACGAAATTGGATTACAGGTATTCATAGTGACCTGATAACGTGACCGCAGTGCCCAAGGGACAACTGCTTGAGGTCGGTCACATAAGATCTTTTTATAGGTAATTTTCATGTTAGCTCTGTAGCTGACTGACTGACTGACTGACTAACTGAGGAATTACAATTATGATTTACAATTGGTGGTTAGTGTTAGGAATTAGATTAAAGGGGGGGTTCATCACAAACTGACTTCAGTTATAATGTCACAACTCGATTTAGCCAAATGGATGAGTGAATTTCGCGCCAAAATCCGAAACCTCTTATCTTATATCTGATTGGTTCATCCATAAATAATAGTCTCGCCTATTGACCCTATGTATAATGGAGTACATACAGTTAATGTGTTATTTCACTTGGTATTGTTTTACTTGAATCTTCCCATTAATGTTTTAGGACTGAAATTGATCAGTCTCTTATTGGCATATGTGCATACTGTGCGTATTCCTTTGATATTGCCTTAATTTACAAGTAAAACAATACCAAGTGAATTAAACTTCACACCATTGCACAAGCAAGTTACTATCAGGACTCAGTAGCTAAGTGGATAACGCGATGGCATTTGAACCGAACGGTACTGAGTCCGAGTCCTAGAGTAAACATCCACTCTGAGATGCAGGTATATCTAACTGACGAGTCCCAAACAGGACGAAACGTGCATCGAACTAGATTATACTGCTAGCCACTATCCATCTTTAGTTAATGTTTATGTTTCTAGGTAAAAAGTGAAAAAAAATTATTAAAAAAAAAGAAACCCGACGGGAAACCTGAAAAACTTGGGCGTATTTCATCATTTTCCCTTATAAAAAAAATTTTGTTTATTGATTAAATAAAATTTCAGGACAATAATTGTTCCCTTTAAAACTATGAGTCATAAACAAACAACAACCAAAAAACGCCTGTCTGAAAGTTTAGACTAAATTAAGATAACAATAATGGATTAATTGAACAAAAAGAAAATCATTATCAGAATGAGAGATATTGTAGAGATGATTGTTTCGTCTTCGTATAAGACTCTTCAGCAGTGCATATTCATGATTTAAAAATCAATAAATTTTAATCTCACATATGAATACTAAACATTTAAATGATTGAGTTAGCATTCAATTGTGTTAATGTTTATGTTATGTCCCGACAAGAATAATGAATGGTAACTTTTGGGATCTATTGATGGGGACCAATACTAAACGTATATTTCTATTGTATAATTATTAAGTAACTAAACTATGCATATTCATATTCCACTTATTATAAGCTTTATTTTGACCCATAAACTATTATTATACGTTTTACCATTCTTGAGTTATACCCAGTATATTAATTACTGCCTCCCTCATTCACAGTCACATCTGGTTAATTCTTGTACGAATGTTGTTTCATATTTTATTGGTACGTTGTGGTCTGTTTGATCGGTATATAAACTCAGTATGCTTGAAATATAATGATTCATATGGCAGAGTCTCGGATTGGTGTTCTGGACTTAAATGGCTGAGCTAGGCGGAAAGCATGGCCAATCAGAACTGTAGGCTGCTCATACGGGTTTACGTGTCATTGATCCAATCGATAAGTCATTGCACACTAATCGGCGGTTACAAATTATAACAGTTAAATTTCAAAAAATTGACCTACTGTCTATCATTTTCTTCAAAGTGTTGCTATTACACAACAGATATAGTTAAATACCATCGGTCATGGCTTATCATTAGAACTCCAGTAAAATACCTCTTGAAACCATTCACTAGTGGGCATTATTAAAATCTCCACAAAATCCCCTTTCTGATAATAATAATAATAATAATAATAATAATAATAATAATAATAATAATAATAATAATATACTTACTAGTGACGATTAACCTGTAGATCACTGAGCCGTCATCCAATGGCTCTCTGGTGCTTCCACCAGGTTCTCCATGGTGATCTAACTTCAAGAAGAATAAAAAACAATACTAATTTAACTGTATTATTTCAACTGTATAGCTAACATTTACATAAAATGTGACCTGATTGAATATCTGGATTACCTATTCTTGTCATTAAGATTGTAGTGCCGGTTATTATATTAAGCTCATATATCTTATTCTAGGTTTCGGACAGATCCTTTTCATTCATTCTACTTGAGTCACATTCTAACCTTGTTATTTATTCGCTTATCAATCTTGATTGTTTTTATATGAGCGCGTATGTGTGCGTACATTTCCAATCCCATTGCTCATCATATGTCTGTAACTTACTTTTGTGTAACTATAACTATTGATTAACGCTTGATTAAATGGGAGTTGGCTTACCCACCATCTCCACTGTGCGTCGTTTTGCTTTGTTCTATTCCATTCGCTCTATATACAAAGTCTATGTACACAAAAGTCGATTCTCGTTATTTGAATTATTAAATTCCGTTATTGACTAACACGATTTAAGTTGATGATTGCATACGAGGATAGGCGATAACAAACATTCATTACAATCTAATCGGAGTCAGATCTATGGGCCACTAAAAGATATTTCAACTAATTATCTGTTTCGTTTGTTTGTTTCAATTGATCATTATGGTTACTAATCACATAACCTATTTAGGTGCATTTGTGAAAAGTTCACGATTTTTTGACTGTACTAGCTATAAAAGAGTTTAATCAGAGATATCATGGTTGTTGGCAATATATATTGAAAAGAATATACATGATCCAGATATCGATTCCTCAACTGTTAACATCTGATTGAAGATCATTCAATATTTGCCGTCAGGATCAACCAAGAAGAAAGAAATGGAAACTTGTTGAAATACTTTGTACTGAGTATTCTATATACTATCGAATAAAGCCATTAATAATAATAATAATAATAATAATAATAATAATAATAAACTTTTCCTAACAAAATTGAACAATGAATATAAATTCCAAAACTAATTACCATACTCAACTCTAGTTTCAGATTTAGCATTACTTACTTACGTCTGTTAACCCTTCATGGACGAGCATAGGCCGCTCACTAACATTCTTCATCCAATTCTGTTCTGGAAAATGCTTTACAGTTGCTATTCATTCTTCTGATGTCTCCTTCTAATTCCCAATGTAATGGGTTGTTTGGTCTTCCTCTTTTTCGTTTCCCTTCACGATTCCAAGTTACCGTTTGCCTCATGATATTGTTTGATGATTTCCTCAATTTGTATCCTATCGACTTGCAAACTGTTTTCCTAATTTCCTCCTCAGATGGAACTTCGTTTGCCCTATCCCACAGTAGGCTGTTGCTGATGGTATCCGGCCAATGGATATTCATTATCTTACGTAGATAATTGTTTGGAAATACTTGTACCTATTTGATGATGGTTGTAGTAGCTCTCCACGTTTCAGCTATATAACTAAATGTATTGACGTTCGTTTTGAAGATTATCACTTTGATATTGGCTTGACGACAGTTGTTTTGAGTTGCATATGTTGTTCAACTGTAGGAATGATGCTCTTGCTTTGTTAATCCTCGCATTTACGTCTATATCAGATCCTCTACGTCCATCGATGATAGTACACAGACACGTGAATGTTTCCACCTCCTCCAGAGTTTCTCCATCAAGCGTGATAAGGTTGGTGTTCTCCGTGGTGAATTTTAAGGATCTTGCTTTTTCTCTTGTATATATTGAGGTCTACTGATGAGGAGAGTGCTGGTACATTGTTCGTCTTGACCTACATTTTTGATGTGTACAGGATAGAAGGATCAGGTCATCTGCGAAGTCCAAATCGTCTGGTTACATCCAACCTGTCCATTTTATTTCATTCTTCCCCTCAGATATAGAGGTCTTCCTGTCATATTTAACATAAATAATGCAATAAAAGAATTAAAGCATTTAAATCATATTAACGCTTGGAAGAAATGAAAAAACACATGAAACAAAATGAATTCATCCTATTATATGTGTAGATTACTAACTTACTTATGCCTGTTACTCCCAATGGAGCATAGGCCGTCAACCAGCATTCTCTAACCCACTGTGTCCTCGTCATTTCTTTCTAGTTTTATCCAATTGTTGTTCATTCTTCTCATGTCTATCATCATTTCTCGACATAATGTTTTCTTTATTCTTCCTTTTCTCGTTTAACTTTGAGAATTCCAAGTGAGGGTTTGCCTTGTGACACAATTCGTCAACAAATTTCCGTTTCTTCTTTCTTGATCAATCCTGACGATGACTATTGATTGATTGTCAGTTATCAGTTAGTAGATCAGTCAATCGATATTTAAATACTGTACATCGTTTTTGTTACATATTGCCAACAATCACAATATCTCTGATT